TCTTGGCCCATCGCCAAATGGCAAATAACTCATAGGATGTCTGTCAGCGACAGCATCATCCTCGAATCTTTCGGGATCGAATACTTCAGGTTTCGGATAAATATTTGGATCATGTTGAATACCATATACTGGCACCCATAACTTCGTGCCCTTTGGTATTGTAATTTTAGTACCTTTAAATGTATAATTTTCCATCGCTTTTCTAGATAACATCGACAATATTGGATATTTCCTTAAGGTTTCTGTAAAGAAAAAGCTAAATTGTAATATATTAATATTTATTCGATTCAAATTGATTTCGAATATATTTATACAAATAATTTTCTAATTTAATGGGAATAGAATTTACTTAAAAAAATTTTTTTAAGTCTCTTTCTTTCAGATAAATTTAATACCTTAAAATTACCTTTAAATACCTTATCCAAATATTTCATTTCTTTGATATCCGTATATGTCAATACTCCGTTATTTTTCTCGTCCATTTTTCTAATTTCTTGCCGTAATTTATCTTGTATTTCTTGATTTTGAGCTAACTCGTAAAGACTAAATGCCATCGTCGATGAAGAAGTTTCGAATCCGGCAACGAAGAAGACGACTGCTTGCGCAGTTAACAAAGTATCTGTTAATTCTGTAAAATATAATAAAATGTAGTACTGTAAATTTTTTGATATAAACCTGTCGCTATTAAATTTTGTGATATTATAATAAATAATTATTTTTATTATTGTTAATCAAGTTTGATATTTCTATACAATATACACAATAATTATTTAGAACCTAGAATGTGTGATGGAATTTGATTTTGAATCGACATTGATAATACTAGAATATACTTTACAATTATTCTCTATTCTAGAAACGAAGACAATCACAAAAGTTGATATACGAAAATATCAATTTTATGTATCAGTTTTTAATTTCTAGAATCGATTCTTCAAAGATTCTTCTTTGACGAATTTATATTAATACATACTTACCAATATTGTCCATTTTCTCTGGATGTTCTTTCAGTTGCATGAGCATATTGATAAAATCTGATCGAATTATATTGTTATCCTTTCTATATTTCATTGTATCACTGACCAAATTTATAAAAAATTCATCGACGTCTTTCATTGTAAACATATTACCGATTACTTCGTACAAAGATGGAAAAAGTACTTTACAAGTATTTCCGATCATCAATTTCAAAGTAGGTGAAAAAATCTTTTTGCCCATTCTACGAAATTCACTATCCTCATCCAAAAGGGAATTTGTGTTGATCCCAAAAGCGCAGCTGCCGATAACGTCGGTCGTAAATTTTGCAGCTAAATCACGGCATTCCACTATTTCATTCTTTTTTATCACATCGTCCAAATATTTCTCTAAATTTCCCGCGCTTTCCACTATAAGGGAGAACATCTCTTTCAGTTTTCCGGATGTGAATATCGGTGAAAGTTTCATTCGCATTGGTCGCCATC